TGTCTGGTAACTAGGACCATGCCGCCCACCCCATCAGCTGCTCCCAGCCCCAGTGCTGCAGGGCCAAGAGTGGGTCAGGGAGGTGTCATGTTGGGGGAAGAGCAAACAGCAGACGGGAGGGACCTAGACCAATGCCGCTCTCCCTGCCAAGGGCCCGACTGCATGGCTTGCGTCCCGAGCTTGGCACAGCCTTTCCCAGAGGCTGGGGGAGTCCAGGCCCAGGGTTTGGGTGGGGACGATCTCTGCTGGGAGCTGAGCTGACAGGCTCTCAGCACAGCCCTGGGTGTGTATGGCACCTCTCTGGCCCATCACTGTGGTAGCAGAGCGCCTCTCCATGTGACCAGACATGCCAGAGACCCTGGCTGGGCCAAGCCGTTCCCTGGACAGCCCCGCTGGCTGCGTGAGGAGAGGCCTGGGTTAGTGCCAGACGTACGGAGTGGCCTGGGTTCGCTGGCTGCCCACGCCAGCTGCCCCATAGATGGCAGCTGTCCAGCGCAAGCCTGGGGCAGGTAATGGCGTGACAGCCCAGCAGTGCGGGAAGGGAACTTCTCCATGGGGCCGAGCCCTGCCGTCTTGTTGCAGGCGCTGATCCTGAAAGGCTTTGGTCATGATGGCGGTACCTGGCGTGGGATTTGTGCTGGCTGAGAGCCTGAGGCCGGCTCCTTGGGGCTGGGGTTCCAGGAATTGTTCTGCAGCAGTGGAGGGGAGCTGAGTTCACAGCCTGCCCTTCAGGGCTGGTCAGAGGCCCGACCCGTGTTCAGCAGAGACACAGGGAGCTGGAGTCGGAGTACGTGGAGGGGAGCTGGGCTTGGCGTCCGCACTGGGGTGGGAGGCAGAGCCAGAGTCTGCGCCAGGCGTGGAGGGAGCACTGGGGCTGGGAGCTGGCTAGGTTTGGGGTTAAATTCCCTGGTCAGGGCACTCGGTGCCCCATGTGGCTCTTCAGCCCCAATGAGAGCTGTCTGTGCTGGCCAGGGCTCTGGGGCCCGGCATGCTGCCCCCAATCCTAACCCCCGGGGTTTACAGACCCAGCCGAAGGACTGACAGTAGGGCTGGTTAATTCAGGTGCTAGCGCAGGAGCGGTCCACAGTAGAGTCCCAGCCAGGCCTGGGCCCAGCTGTGCTGATCCCAGCCCCAGGCCTCGTCTGCACTAGGACTTGAGGGGAACGTTAACCCGTGTTCTGATAGCCCAGTGTGGACGAGGCCCTGGCCGTTAGCATGGGCTAGGCTGGTGGAGGCAAAGCCTGAGGGAGCCTGGGCTGTAACCCAACCTGTTGGGTGTCTGTGAAAGGCTGCACTGCCCCACACCAGCTGCTGGTGGCGCCCTCAGGGCTCAGGCCTAGCTCCAGGGCTGTCACAGAACAGTGGGGCTTTGAGGGGGTCGTACAGGGACGCTCGGGACATGCTGCGAACGCTGGGGAGTGTCTCGATTTGGTGTCGGCTCGCCTGCGATAACGGTCGGTTAACTCGAGTTCTCAACGGGCCACAAATGCTGCTAGACAAACCCTCACGCTAGTGATCTCTGCAGGGAGCGGGGTGTCCCGTGCCGATACTCTCCAGTGGCCGGTTCACTCTCACGCTTGCAGTGCAGAGGCGTGCTGCTCCGGGCCATGGGCGGGTGTCTGCACCGCGCGCTGCCCTGGCCTGGGGCTGTTGGAGCCAGCTGGATTCCGGTCTGCCCTGGGTGTTACCAAGAGACTGGCCAGCTCGGTGTCTGAGGCAGAGGGGCCGTGGCTGGCTGGCGGAGCCCGGCGAGCATGGCAGCCCTGCAGCCCGGTTCTCTTGCTGCATGGGAGTCCCCTGGATCCTGCCCCAGGGAGATGAGCTCCTGCCCTATGCGTGGTTCTGGAATCATCAGCTGGGAGCAGGGGTGGGGGAGATCATGAAACCCCACGGCTCTAGTTATCACTGGATCACATCCCCCTGGACAAGCAGAATGGACCAGGTTTAACCCCTGCCCCTCTGCCACGCTCTGCCCCCGCCTGCCCTGTATGTTCCCCTCCCCCAGGCCCTGCCCTGCACTGTTAGCAACTGGCGTTAGCCTAAATCCAGGCTTGGAACCTGAACCTGCAAACGTCTCGCCCGGACAGTGGTGCAGCCGTGCTGCCAGGGGAGCTGTGCTCGTGGCAAGTTCTGCCCGGGGCAGCGGGCGGCAAGGACCCTGCCCTGGGGAGGGGATACCGCAGGAAGTGACTCTAGGCAGCAGTGGGAAGCCTGGCTCCTGAACCTGCCTTTGGGAAGGAAGTGGCCCTGCCCCCTACCAGCCCTACCCCTCCAAACTGGCCCTGCTTCAGTTTGCCCCTCTCTGTCCTGCATGGAGGGCACTGCCCACTTTTCACTCTGCTGTGAGAACAAGTTGTTAGGCCTTGGCCGGTGCCCTCTGCCTTGCAATGGAAGCTGCGCCGTCTCCCCGCTCTGCAAGACAAGCCTCTCCGGTGCAGATCATTAGATCTGGGGTGGAGGTGGATGCCAGCAGGGGAGAGCCAGGGGAGGATGGGCTCCTCAGTGCAGGCCTCGCTGTGTACGTAGGGGAGTGGCATCGCCGCAGGAAAGCTGCCAGCTCTGGGGTGGAGCCCTCACCCTATCAGTTGTGCCCACACATGGGCCCTTGTTCCTGCCACTCACTCGTGTTGCAAAGCGATGAGGCTGCACTGGGAGGAGGGGCACAAGGATGTGGAGCAGCTGATGCCATAGGGAACTGGGAGAGGCAGCGGGTCCAGGACCCAGGGTTGGAGCCTGCAGGTCTGTGGGGTTTGGCTAGGCCCATTCCCTTCGTGCTGCCGGCTGCTGCGCTCACCCCGACAGACCCTCCTACCTGGTTGTTTTTCCAGAGCCCCAGCCCTTGTTTCCCATGAGCCCTGCTGTGACTAGAGGGGTTGTTTATCCAGGCATCTTGGGGAGGAAGTGACATCATGTGGTTCGCTCTGCTTTCGGCCTGGAGGGAGGATGCGGTTCCTCGTGGCCGCCCAGCATTCCAGCAGCCGACATCTGGCAGGAGGCTCCTCCGCCAGCGCGTCCCCTTGATCTCAAACACAGATGCTGGTTTGAGCGGCTGCTAGAGGAAGCAGAACTAACAGCTCAGTGGCAAGGCCGGGTTGTGCAGTTCGGATGGGCTGTCAGTCCAGAGCAGGGCTCTCTGTTCACCCCAGGGCTGCTGCTCCTAAAAACCTCCCCACGCCACGTGCCGCCTCTGCCGGCCTCATGGTGTTCCCCTCCCTTCTCCCCATCCTTCCTCCTAGCTATTTCCTCGGTCTCTGTGCAAGGGCCGCGGGATGCCGGGCCGTACACCTCGCTTGACGGCGAGGAGCTGTGCGCCTGTAACATGATGCGGCAGCCGGTCGAGTCCAACGTTTCAGGGAATGGGCTGGGCACCACTGGGCAGAACCTCATGGATTTTGTGGGAGATTAGTGAACTAGAAGAAAGAAACTGAGGACCTCAGTCTTCTCCCTTTGTCCCCCTCTCCTCCCTTCTGTCTCCAGCCTGCTCTCCTCTATCTTTATCCTCCCCTGCCGCTCCAGGTGCTTTTCTCAGAGCTCAGCGTTCCCCCAGTGCTGCTTTTCCAGCTATTCTGATGCTGCTTATTCAGCTCTTTGCCCGGGGTCTAAAGCCAAGCGGAGCTGGAGAGCAAGGAGACTGCGATCAAAGCAGCGTCTACTCCGCTGTGTGCGGGAGTCTCTGGAGAAGCAGCAGCCCATGCTGAGGGGTCCCTGGGAGCTGCTCTTGCTCTGGGCTGCGTGACTGTTTTCCCCCTGCTGTGTGGAGTCTTAACACCGGCTTTCGTATTTAATATACGGCCTTGGAAAGGAAAAGAAAAAGGCGGAGTTCTCCAGCCTGCAGAGTTTGCAGGCTCAGCTGAGGTTGCCAGCAGACCGAAGCTCCATGCTGTGAAGGACTCCCTCCCCCACCCCCCGCCTTCTCCCCAGTGGGTGGGGCCTGACCTGTGCAGGAATCTGTGCCCACCTGAGTGTCGCTCCTCACAGCCCCATTTGCAGGATTGGGGCCTTACAGCTGTGCACACACGGGAAGCAGCTGTGTATAAGGGTGAGCCTTGGCATGCCATGACGGTCCCGTGGCACATGCCCAGCCCGCACTTTTCACACGCTCCTCTCTTTGTAACTCCAGACCATTTCTCCCCAGGCTGTCCCTGGTGCTAACGGCTTCTTGCCTCCAGACCAGGCTTCAGGCATTCTGCGGAGGCTGTTGTCAAAGGACAGTTAGAAGGGGCTGCAGTGGAAAGACTCGCTCACCCAGAGCTCAGGCACTACACAGGGGATTTCAGTGGTTAGCAGCCCTCTGGTAGCACAAGCTGGGTGCTAGGTGCTGCACAAACAGGAGGAGCCAGTCCCTGCCTGGGAGCTATGGGCAGAGACCAAACCCTACAGGAGACCAGCTTGGCGAGGCTGAGGTGTGGGACTGGCCTTGCATTGGAGCCTGTTTTGCTGCCCTATAATAGACACCTAAGGGGTCAGTTTCCTTTACTGCACTGTAAAGTCATTGAATTCCCATGTGCTGGCTCCACACCAGCAGGGCTTTAACACTCCCCATTGTCTGCCCGGGGGTTAGCCTGCAGCCCTGTCTGGCTAGCAGGCCTGTTGGGGAGGGGTGGGGTGGAGACCCTGCCAGGGAAGCCAGCGGCACTAGAAACACACCAGCAATAATTGTTGGAACCCAGCATCCGCTAGCACCAATCTGATTCCACTGTGGACAACAAACTAATCAGAGGGAGAGGCCAGTTCTAACTCAGCCAACCCTGTCCATGGCTAATGGCTGTGGAGGGGGAGCAGGGAGCCTTACATCAGCATCATCGCACCAGAAACCATCCTGGCCAACACTGCACTGTAAAAACACAGGCGGTAACTGCTCAGAGTGCTGCCCCTCGGTGCAGCTCCCCTCGGCACCGCTGTCTGGGGACGGGCAGGCTGAAACAGAGCCAGCGGGGCTGGGGAACGGAGGCTGTTCCTGGGTTTCCCCCACTAACGCCCATCCTGTCTGTTTGTTGCAGTGATCAGAGCAAAGGCTGTCTCCGGAAAAGAGGTGGATTCTGGGAATGATGTTTATGGGAATCCGATCAAACGGATCCAGTATGAGATCAAGCAGATAAAGGTAAAGACCCCAGCCTGGGGGAGTCTGGCTCTGGGGGAGCAAGTGGGAAGAAGGTGTTGGAGCATGAACAGGGTCAGGGGGTCCCCACAGCAAACCCACCCTCAGATCCCATCTGCGGGGGCTGCAAGTGCTGAGCTCCCTCCGCCGTGACCTGTCAGTACACCCAGCACTGCAAGAGCTCCGCTTCCTCCCCCCTTGCCATGCACGTGCTCCCGCAGCGTGTGGGGCTGAGCAGTGCCGCCTGTCTGACCACGCTCTCTCTCTCTCTCTTCTTGCTAGATGTTTAAAGGACCTGACAAGGACATAGAGTTAATTTACACAGCTCCCTCCTCGGCTGTGTGCGGGGTGTCGCTGGACACCGGCGGGAAGAAGGAATATCTCATTGCAGGTAGGACATGCATTGCCGGAGGAGCTGGCTCCGGGGCTCGAACCGAAGCAGGACACTGGGGCATCTCAAAGGCTCTCTTGACCTGAGTCAGTTGCGGGCAGGAGGCAGGCGAAGGGATGTGGACCCATGTAGAGAGGTTTCCTGGAGCTGTGGGAATCGCTCAGGGAAAGGCTGCAAAACTGAGATCCTGCTCCAGCCAAGGGGCTTGCTCTCTGCTGTGGCCATGGGACCTCAGGAGAGGTCCAGATTGCAGCACTGCCGTAGGGTTCCCCTCTGCCCTCCCCCGGCCCCTGTGCTGGACCCCCAGAGCCCTTAGTGCCGTTCTGATCCTGGCCAGAACTGGGGCAGTGAGCACCGCACCCATGGTGCTCCCATGCTGGCCACAGGGCCAGGGCCCTGCCCGGGACGCTTCTCATTCAAACCCTCTGCCCCATCCCATGCAGGGTCCCTGATCATCTGGGCCCCTTCTGGCACCATCTAGTGGCTTCCAATGAAATAACAGCCAATAAAGCTGGTAGCGTTTCTTGACCAGTGTGCAGGCTGGTGCCTAGTCCAGGCTGGCCTGGGGGCAATGATCACGTTCAGAGCACAGGGCCAGCCACCAGGAGCACTCATTCCAGCTCGGACATTGGCTGCTGCTCCCTGGGGCCTGTCGGCCTTGGTTTCCCTGTCTGTGCAATGGGGAGAGTGCTCCTGTCCTGCCGAACCCCCAGGAGCATTTGAAGCTGCAGCTCTCGGTCCTAGAGGCAGGAGCACGGGAGTCTCCCTCTGTGTCTGTTTCCGTGTCCGGCACTTGCCCAATGGCACTAGTGGAGAAGGGCACCGTGCCCCTGGCGCCAGAGAAGTCTGGCTGCAGTGTGAGTGCTATTGCACATGCCTTCACCCAGGTGTTTCTCCTGGGCTCTCTGAGCTCTGCTGGATCCATCTCTTGGTCCATTCTCCTGGCCACTCCACTCCCTGCGGGCCCCAGTGTCTGGTGCTGCAGGAGTGTCTGCTTCTAGGTGTGACGTCCGTCTCCGCCTCTCCCCAGATGGGGGCTGTCAGAGTGTCCTGCTCTGTAGCCTCTTCCTCGTCCTGGGATATGCTCGCTCAGAACACGGGCCCTAGAGCGGCGCCAATCAACAAGCCATAAATAAAGTCCTCCCGATCCATGTAGACGGCAGGGAAGGCCCTGAGCCTAGAAGCCGGACTGCCTGGCCAGGACTCTGGACAGCCCCCTTGGCTTTATCCCCTCTGCATTGCTGCCTGCTGAGGGGCCCTTTGGCGTGTGACCTCACAAGCATTGTGATCTCTCCAGCGGGGATGGCCACCTTTCCAGAGGCGCCCAGCTCCTGGAACACCTGGCCCGAGCAAGCAGCTGGGGCGTGGGCCAGGGCAGCTTCCTCCTGGCTTTGCTCGCTGAGCAGAACCGAGCGGACAGGAGGTGCTGATCCGAGGCAGGAGAGCTGACCCAGGTCTGAGCAGTCAGTAGGAGCTCTGGCCAAGGGCTAACCAATCAACTCCCTTCCCAGCACTCTCTGCCTCAGAGGAAGACCACGGGGGGGGGCTTGCCGGCAGCTCAGTGGGGTTGAGTGAGTTAGCATCACCTAGCTTGCTGCACAGGTACTCTGGAGAGACCCTAGAAAGACTAAAGCGCTGTGTGACCTTTCCTCAGGCAAGTCCGAAGGCAACGGCAAGATGCACATCACACTGTGCGACTTCATCGTCCCTTGGGACTCCCTGAGTGCCACTCAGAAGAAGAGTCTGAACCAGCGGTACCAGATGGGCTGTGAGTGCAAGGTATGCAGAGTGGGAGCCCGCCTGCCCGCCTGCCATTGCTTGTGGTGCGCTGAGGTTTCTGGGGCTGTCGGCAGGCTTGGGGTCGAGTGACCTTGGCTGGATACAGTGCTGAGACTCAGGAAAGCACGTGCTGAAGTGAACGGCAGAGATACTTTCCTGAATCGAGGCCTGGGTTTGCATCTGAAGAGGGATCAGGGCATTGCTGGGGTAAGAGTCTTGAGCGGTGCAAAGCCAGTGATTTTATCTGGAATGGCCAACGAGGCGTACTGCTAGCAAGGGTGCGAGGCATCCCAGAGAGGCAGAGAGCGGGCTGTCTAGGAGTTAGTCACCTGGCCTCCTGTTCTCCTATTGCAGTACTGCCCACAGGCCCCTACTCGGGATCGGGCCCTCCACAGCCACCTAGGGAGATACTGTCCCTGCCTTGAAAAGTTTACTACATAACGGGCTGTTTCCAGGCCCTCATCCCCAAGGGAACTAAGCATCCCCACGTACCCTCACAACACCCTGCTAGGGATTTCAGGTAGTTGAGCGGAAGCGAGTTGCTGAAGGTCACTAGGGAGTCTCTGGCGAAGGTGGGGGTCAGACCCCAGTTTTGGGGAATCCCGGAGCTGTTCCCCACTCTCCTCCGCTCTTTGTTCTTTTCCTCATCTCTCTGCATCCCCTCTGCTCAGAATGCTGCCCGCTGCTCCCTGGGCAAGCTGGACTCTCCACGGCCAGGCTTCTGCCACGCACCCATCCTCACCCCAGCCCCCACATCTCCTGCTGTCTGTAACTTGGCTGCAGGCGTGTATTTGCATGGATCGGTTGCAGTCAGATGTGGAGTATTTGTCTAAAGGATGTGATCTAAGCCCACCTTGCATCGTACGGGGTGGAGATGAACTGTTGCCCTCCGACATGCCAACGTCAGGATGGTTTGCAGAGCTAGACTGTCCTGATTCCTCTGTTTGAGACTTTGCTCTGCGTGTAGCTGTGTCCAGGCAAAGAGCCACGTTTGGCTTCAGCACTGGGAAATTCACCTTCAATCCGAGGAAGACCCAATTCTGTCTCTTAAAAGGAGCCGTGTGTCCAGTTGCTGGAACAAAGGGCCTGGACCATCTTCAGCCCAGATCCCAGACAGGCCCCTGCCTCCCTTATGGGACCCTGAGAAACTTGCTCGGACTTTCCTGTGGCTTAGTCACCATCCCTGGGGGTTTGGGTGAAAGCAGAGATGCTCCTGAAGAGGAGCGACCCATTCTATTCATTTTTTTGGCTAATAGGGGTCGGGTCGGGGGGCAGGGGCGATGGCTCTGGGACTCGGGGAGGTAGCGGGGGAGTGGTACAAGGGAGGGAAGATTCCCCCTGGGGTGGGCCCTCTCCCAGGCACGGTGGTACCCCCGCCGCACTCTCCTCCACCGGCCCTGCCAGACTGGCAAAACGTTCTCCGTGTAAGGAGAGCTAAGCCCTGGAACGGGCTCCGAGCGGCTGTGGAACCCCCTCACTGGAGGTTGTCTAACCTGTTCTTGGGGAACCTCCTGCCAAGGGTTGGGTGAGGTGCTTGGTGTTCAGCAGGATCCGTCCCAGTTTGACTCCCGTGGAACTGCCCCGGGACTGAACGGCCATTCACAGATGCTTGGAGACAAAGGCTCAGCCCTGCCCGGAAGAGTTTGCGGGCTAGGTGGACAAGGGATGCAGTGGGAACAAGTGACGGTTGGGGACAGATAAGACCATGGCTTTAGAGCCACCCTTTTCTCCTCGTGTGCTTGGAGAGGGGAGTAGGGCGGGAAAGGGAGAGGGACATCTGCCCCCTCTTTTAACCCCGGAACTTTAGCGAGTTGCTTTCCTTGGCTCCGGGTCTCTCTCCGTCCCCCAGCCCAGAGTGACCGATGTGGGAGATGGAAGAGGCACAGCAGGTCCATCTCTCCGCCAGGCAGGGCGTCCGTGTGTGCTCAGCAATGGTCTCTGTTCTCCTGCAGATCTCCCGCTGCCCCTCCATTCCGTGCTTCGTCTCCTCGTCGGACGAATGTCTCTGGACAGACTGGGTGACGGAGAAGAACATCAACGGGCGACAGGCTAAGCATTACGCCTGCATCAAGAGGAGTGACGGCTCGTGCGCGTGGTACCGTGGCGTAGCCCCACCCAAGCAAGAGTTTCTCGACATCGAGGACCCCTAAGCTGAATAGCTGCGTTCCAGTACCCAATAGAAAGGCCTGCAAGAAATTAGACTGGTCCATCTCTGACATCACTTCCTGGAAACAGCATGAAAATACAGTATCCCAAGTGGGTCCCAATCGGGTGATTAAATGCCACGTGCTTCCAAAGTGGGGTGAGGGGCCACACCGTTGTATTTAGTTCCCAGCAGTGCTTTCCAATTCCTTCCTTTCACAGATGCAGTGGGGCATGGGATGGCTTCATACTAGTCAGGGGAGAATCCTGAACCAGCCGGACTTTGATCCATGAGATCCCAGTGCTGTTCTGGAGGAAACCAGAATGCTCGAGGGTCGATGTGTCTCATTCTGTGTAGCAGGCCTACCAGGTTCCCCTCACCTGGGGCTGGAGTGTCCCTTGCTTTGGGTAGCTCCTACCCCTCGATCCCCCAGCACATTGGCGTCTCTTTTTTCAAACAGCCTTCTCCACTGCCAGAGAGAGACCAGCATTCCCCAAATCTCCTTTGTAAGCCCTCTAGTCCCACTGCTCCCCTGGTCACACGCACCCCCACCTCTTGGGCTAGAAGGGAGAGTCAGCGAAAGGTAGCACTGGCTGAGAGTCCCAGCTGGACTGCAGGCACCAGGAAAGGATTCGGCTCTAGCGAAGTCTCCTTAGCCTTTATCAAGTAAGATAAAGGCTCTTTGCACTGACAGTGTCCCTGTGATCCCCAGCATCAGCAGAAGCATCTTTTGAGGGGGACCGGAGGGTCCCCTTCTCACTCATTTGCAAGCACTGTTGTTGTTTCATGCTTCCCTCCAAGTCATTGGGTGCTGAGGTTGGACCCCTGGGGTGGCGCATGCGTGAGACCCCTGCAGGCTTCGGTCCTGCACCTTCATCCTGGCAGTCTAGTAAAGAAAGCAAATCCCCTGGTGGGTATGTGTATGCCTTGCTGTGGTGTAGCTGCCGGATCTGTGTCCTAGTGCATGCTTGTGCCGTCCACATAGTGCTAATGCCAAGTTCCAGGTTAGGGGAAGGGTTTGGTTACTGTTTAGCCTGTAGGATTATGCAAACAGCAGAGGTATTATTGTGAATTCATTGCTCAGCAGGACAATGAACTGAGAGCGCTCTAGCCCCACAGACAGTGGCATGCTGACAATGACCCATAGCCGCTTCCCTTGCCGAGAGCCTTTATCCCCAGCAAGTTGTGTGAATCCAGGAGCTGGCGATCGGAGGCTTATTCCAAGTGTTCTGCCGAGAAACACAGCGCGCTGAGAGAGACCCCACAGGACGAGGTATTTTTATACCCACTGATGGCTGTTTGCTGATCGCGGTTGTGAGGCTCATGACAGTGAGCTGTAATAACAGTAAAGATTCACACACAGACACAGAGCCAGCCTCTGGCTGCTACATCCTTCTGTGAAACCCGCCCAGCCACCCGCAACCCCAGTCTTCTTCCGAGCCGGTTTCCTTTCTCTGAGGCACTAGAGCGCTGCATAGCTAGCCCACCTGGAATGCGCCCAGCACAGACCTTGGTGAGATAAAACAGAGAGATCCTGGCTAAAGCAGGTTTGGAGAGTCCTGAAATTATCCCTGCAGACCAGCTTCAGGGGCATTTTCATGCTGTGCATCGGTGTAAGATTTTAATGATGTCATATTGGACCAGTCTGGGTGACTTCAATATATAAAAATGAAGAGGGGAAAAAACTAATCAATTCAATATATGACTCCTGTTTGCTTACTGTATGGTTATATCATATGTGACATTTACTCCTGTCTCTGATGATGCTCTATCTTTGATTTTAATATTTCAGTTTGTTTTGGCATCCGCTGTATCATTCCTGTGCTGTAACTTTTTTAATTTCCTTGTTAGGTATTAGAACTGCACTTATTTTTTTAAACGCATTTCTGCATTGGAAGCATTCAACATGAAGTGGGAAGAGTATCAAAGTCTGTGGAGGGTTGAGTCCTCCAGATTTTTCTATTTGTTTATTTTCCCTCCTCCCTCCTTCCCATCCCCCTCTTCTGCCAAGTGCACAAGTCTTCAGAAGTTGGATTTGGAGATGGGATGTACCATACGTTTGCCTCTTGCTAGTTTGTCTCCAAGGCCTTGCTGAACAACAATATCACGGCTGTCGGCAAGCACGATAGGTGAGCCTCACACAAAATAATTGCAAAAATCTCTCTCTATATATATGTCAAGTATATGAAGGATGCTTGATTGGCTTTTTTAATTTATGTCTTCTGTTCTCGGTTCCATTCTCTGCCCTTCCTTCCTAGCTCCAGTCTCCTCCTCCATGCAAGCAATTCAAAATATTTAAAAAAATAAAAAGTTTACATTATAGTTATTTTCAAATCTTTGCTTGATAAGTATTAAAAATAAGGAGTATCTAACTTGCTGCCATAATTTAAGGCTTTTGGGTGGGGTTTTTGTTTGGGTTTTTTTGGAGCAATATGTTTTTTTGCTGGAATCTGAAGTCTGAGACCTTCTTGTGCTGGAAACACATGAAAGTTGTTGAATAATGACAAGCAGACTGTGCATGTCTCTGATGCTTTGTATAATTCATATGTGGACATTCAGTCTTTGGACAATAAACAGTATTCTAAAAAATTAGATTTTCCTCTTACTGAATTCACTGCACATCTATAGTGCTGTATAAATAAGTAATAAGCATAATTCTGGAGGTGAGACAGGCACACCAATCCGCTGGTGCATATGAGACAGCCTGTGGGGTGGGCGTGTAATCCACTCATCCTTGGGGGGGCATATGGCATGGACATTCCCCTCCTGCTTCCCTCAGGGCTGTAGTTCTGCTGGAAAAGTTTCTTATTACAGAAGCTGTTCCACTGCATCAGCCTTCTTCATATAGAGCAATTTTGGGAAACCGCAGCCACGGGAGAGAGCCACTGGAGAGAATGGCCCCAGTCTTGCTATTATAATCACCATGTTTGAGAACCCACAGCAAATGTAAAACCATCCCTAACCCCTAAGCTCAGCTCCTGCTTGCTCCAAGCATGGCTAGGGGCTGACCTGGTAAAGTTGCTCCCCAAAGCAAGTAGTGCTACCCCATTACTACTAATTGTATGGCTTTAGCCGTGGCAGAATTCAATTTTTATTTTTATAATGTCAATGGATAAGATCAGTGTTTATTTTTAAGCTTTTCTCCCCTCCTCCCCCCATTTTTATTGATTTAAATGTTCACAGTTGCAGGAAATTATGCGGGGGAGAGGGTCAGACAATAATGCCAGCAGACCAGTTTTCAACACTTCTTCATTTGTGGACCCCTAATAAATGTAAAATGGAGGCACACACCCCTTTGGAGATCTGCCACGGTCTGCAGACCCCCAGGGGACCGTGGAGCACAGGTTGAAAACCACTGCAGTAGGCTCAGATGCAAAACAGTTAAAGCTTCATAACCATTAAAACATGTCGCATGTGAAAATATACAAAGTCAGTATCCTTAAATCAAACTCCAGTAAGTTCTCAAGCAGCATTTTTCTTAGTATGCCTATTTGAAAATTTCAATTGTTAGCAAGTTTGTTTTTTTTCCCATCGCTTTGTGTCTGCAGTGAAATCAACATGTACCCACACTTACTGATTGAAAAGGGACTCCTTCCAATCCTGTTTGTTTGACAGCTGAGACTGGGATCCCCCCCCCCTTGCTACAAACAGAGTAAAAGACACTCCTGCCACAAAGGGGTTGTCTATTTAGACTACAAGACAGACAAAGGAGGGGCAGGGAAAATAGGTGCAGAGAGATGTGTCAAGTCACCCAGGGTTGCTTGTCTCCCAAGTTCACAATCTAACACTACTAATTTTGCTAAACATACTTTATAGAATGGGGATAAGTAACGTCGGTGACTATTTTTAACCGTATTGAAGCTGGATACACTTGTTGTGAGCAGCAGCAAATCTGTCAGCAACTCTCTTCAGAACAAGACACTTTGACAACTTTTCCCCTCGATAGCCTCATAGAACTACAAGCAGAAACTTACCACGGCCATTGAGTGTCACAGAGCTACTTCAATTCCACAAGTTTATTTTTGGGTTGTACTTTCTTTAGAAAGGCTTTGAATTTAGCATGTGTAGCTGATCCAGAGAGAGAAAAGTGTACAGTTTCTCCAAGATCGGGGGGGGGGGGGAAATCAGTACATGTTTGTTTCCTTTCCATACCTCAACAATAACTAAACTGTCAGCCTACATCTTCCTGTAAGAGATTGCACACCATAAATCTGGGCGATACAGTTCTGTATATCAGTGCCACCCTGTGACATGTTCTTCAAGTACTGAAGGAGACACTTTGCATCAAGTGAGTCAGCAGGCTGGAAACCAAGAAAGCTCATATTTAATATAATGCCATGCAAATAATATCTCACACAACTGACACTTATTCTACTTTGCTAATTTCTTTAGTTTTGTCAACCGTTATAGAGAAAACATTAGCCTCTTTCACTTCTTAGCTAATGCATTCAAGTACCATTTCTGACACCATGGGAATGATTTCATTCTGTATTGACGAGCGGTGTATTGTGCATTGCATGGTCCACTTTCAGTTCTTTCTTACCACATCATTGTATTTGGCTACTGGAGTCAAGTGCTCCAGGAAGTTGCTCTTGTATAGCTGCTTTCACTCTAATCTTTTCTTCATTGAGCACTCCCCTGGCCTGCAGTGAGTCTCCGGATAGCTGCCCCAGCTTCGATATACGTGCTGACACTAAAGCAAAATATGCTTCATCTGATACGAAATGTTCCATGTCCGATTCTTCTATGATACAATCTTCTTTGTCAGTATCGAAGGTGCAGAGTTCAGCAGTAATTCTGGCAGACCACTCTCCTACTGACTTCCAAAATGAGGCCTATTTCTGAAGTTGCGGGTAGGTCTAGTTGAACTTCAGAGTACTTGTTTATCTTTTTGATGCATTTTGTTGGCTGAAAAGTTCTGAAATTGTCAATGATTGTTTGCTTGACATTTTAAAACGGTTTGTTTGTTTTGTTAAGTTACTTGTACTCAAAAATGGGGAAAGGGGGGCTCACAGGCAGGCCTGGCCCCTCTTGCAGGCTACTGTTTTGAACAAATTGGAGAGGATGTGGACAAATTGGAGAGAGTCCAGCAGAAGGCAACTAAAATAATTGGGTGCTGGGGCACATGACTTCCAAGGAGAGGCTGAGGGAACTGCGCTTAATTAGTCTGCAGCAGAGAAGTGTGAAGGGGGATTTAATAGCAGCCTTCAACTACCTGAAGGGGGGTTCCAAAGAGGTTGGAGCTCGGCTGTTCTCAGTGGTAGCAGATGACAGAACAAGGAGTAATGGTCTCAAGTTGCAGTGGGGGAGGTCTAGGTTGGATATTAGGAAAAGCTATTTCACTAGGAGGGTGGTGAAGCACTGGAATGGGTTACCTAGGGAGGTGGTGGAGTCTCCTTCCTTGGAGGTTTTTAAGGCCCGGCTTGACAAAGCCCTGGCTGGGATGATTTAGTTGGGGTTGGTCCTGCTTTGAGCAGGGGGGTTGGACTAGATGACCCCCTGAGGTCTCTTCCAACCCTAATCTTCTATGACTAGTCTAGGCCAGACCTCCCAGACTAGCTTCCTCTTCCTGGCCAAGTCCATGCAGCAGGAAAAAGAGGGGGGGAGGGGGTGTGCAGTGCAGTGCCAACCCATAGCCTAAGGCAGTGGTTTTCAAACTTTTTTTCTTTTGAGGACCTCTACAAAATTTTGAATGGAGGTATGGACCCCTTTGGAATCTTAAACATAGTCTGCAGACTCCCAGGAGACCTCAGACCCCAGGTTGAAAATCACTGGCCTAAGTCTGCAGGGGGAGACTGCCTGGAAAAGGAAAGGATCCATGCACTGCACCCTTCTGTGCATGGATTCACCTGGCCCTGGCTGCTTGTTTGGGGGGGGGGGGGGTTGTGTGTGTGTGCGCACACGCGCCAGGAAAATTGGTTGAAACTATAGTAAAAAAACAGAATTATCAGACACATCTATGAACACGATATGCTGGGGAAAAGTCAACATGGCTTTTGTAAAGGGAAATTAGGCCTCACTGAGCTATTAGAATTCTTTGAGGGTGTCAACAAGCATGTGGACAAGGGTGATCTAGTGGATAGAGTGTACTTGGATTTTCATGAAGCCTGTGACAAGGTCCCTCACCAAAGGCGCTCAAGCAAAGTAAGCAGTCGCGGGATAACAGGGAAGATCGTCTCATGGATCAGTAACTGGTTAAAAAATAGGAAACAAAGGGAAGGAATAAATGGTCAGTTTTCAGACTGGAGAGAGGTAAAGAGGGATGTCCCCTAGGGGTCTGTACTGGGCCCAGTCCTATTCATCATATTTATAAAGCAGACTGCGAAGAGTTACAAAGGGATCTTAGTACAGTGGGTGATGGGGCAACAAAAGGCAGATGAAATTCAATGTTGATACATGCAAAGTAATGCACCTCGGAAAACATCATCACAACTACACACACGAAGCAACGGGGTCTGAATGAGCTGTCCCCACTCCAGAACGAGATCTTGGCGACACCGGGGCTAGTTCTCGGAACACCTCCAGGCAAAGGGCAGCGACAGTCAGAAAAGCGGCCAGGCTGTCGGGCAGCCTTAGGGAAGGGGCGGACAAGCCAGACCATAGCATGACCCTGCTCTATAAATCCAGGGTGCGCCCCCACCCAGCGCAGGTCGCCCCCTCGGAAGAGCGACGGGAAGGGGGAAGGTTGCGGGGCGGGCAGCAGCCCTGACGAGGGGGGGGAACAGCTCCCACCCACGTGGGGTGTGTGACATACACCGGGAGAAGAGCCGACCCCTGGGCTCGGATAGCGGCCTGGCTGGGGCGCGTCCCTGCCCCTTCCCCCTCCCCCGTGAGCGCCTCAGGCGGCGGGACCTGCGGAACTCCCTGCCACAGGACGCGCTGCGCCGGGCTCAGCGGGGCTCTCCCGCTAGGGGCGGGGCTGCCGGCGGCACGCGCAGTAGGAGGAGGTTACGCCCTAGCGTCACGGGGCGGCGCCTGCTCTGTCCCCGCCCCTTAAGGGGGAGAGGGGCGCGAGCGGGGGTTTGGGTCGGCGGTTCGCAGGCGCCTCCCCTTTAAGGCGCAGACACGTGTGCGGCCGGGCCGGGGAGGCCCGGATGGTGCGGGAGGCCGGAGCAGGTAGCGGGGCCGCAGGGGCGGGCGGGGTGAGCGGGGCTGGCTCGGCCTGGGGCCGGAGCCCGGGAGGCGGCGGCCGGGGGAGCGCTGGGCCGGCGGGCCTGGGCGCGGGGGGGCGCGGCTCGGGAGGCGCCCCGGGGAGCCTGGCTAAAGCCCGTCCCTGCCCCGGCCGGGCCTGGGCGCTCCGGGGCCGCGTGTGGCCCCGGGCCGGGCGGAGGGAGGGAACCTGCGGCCCCGCCCCTCGGTGGCTCCGGGTCTCAGCCCGGCCTGGATGCGGGGGTCGCCCCGGGCTCGCTCGATGCGGGGCCCACGGGCGGACTGGATGCGGGGCCCACGGGCGGACTGGATGCGGGGCGCCCGAGCTGTCAGTCACCGCTGAGATCCCCCCGCACGCTGCATGGGGCGGGGGGGGGGCACATCTCTCTTCCGCCGTCCGCCCCGGTGGGGCTGCTCGTCCCCCGCCTTCTCTGCGCCCAGCC